TCAACGCGGACGACGAGGACGACGCGAGGGGCGCGGTGGACGAGTACTTAGAGGACGAGGGGTGGGAGGACGACGGGGACGAGGACGACGAGTACAACTGATGGACAGTATCACTATTATCTTTTACCTATCTTGTACCAAATAGTCTATAAGCAACTACAGTATTCCACCGCCGCCCGCCTTCGAAACGTGCGTCGAATGATCCTACGTATGAGATACGGAAGTACGATTTCGTACTTCCGTACCTACGACAGTGTACCTGCCGTCGTAGCAGCGCCTCACTTACGACGCCGCCTCGGCCGCCGCGACGCTTCGCACCGCCTTGGCCAACCGTCGAACACCCTCTTCGATCTCGTCCGCGGTCAGGAACGCGAAGCAGACGCGCACGTGCCCGTCGCACGCGTCGAACGCGTCTTCGTCCCCGGCGGTCGGCGCGCACTGCCCTCCGCGTAAGAACGCGACGCCCTCCCTCGCCGCGGGCTCCGCGAGCGAAGCCGCGCGCATCCCCGCCGGGAGCTTGATCCACGCGAAGTACCCGCCCCTCGGCGGCGACGGCGACGCGAACGACCACGCACAGCCGTCGCTGCCGCCGGTCTCCGCCTCCACCGCACGCGCCAACGCGGCGGAGCTTTCTCTGTAGTCGTCTCTCAACTTCGTCAGCCAATCCGCGGCGTCGCCGGAGAGGATCGCCTGCGCGACGACGCCCGCGGTGAACGGCGCGACGCAGCCGCCGCTGACGACGTAGCCGCGGTTCGCGATCGCGGTCGCGAGCGAGGGGTCGCACTCGAGCCACCCGAGGCGCAGCCCGGGGGCTAAAATTTTCGTGAACGACGACGCGGACACGACCACCGGCGGCGGCGGCTGTCCGCGCTGCGATGAAACGCCCGGTTTCGGTGCGTTTTCTTCTTCCCCGCCGCCCGAACCCGTTTTCTTATTCTTCCCCCACGCGTCCGAATACACGCTGACGTCGCCGCGCGCGTCGTCGTCGTCGTCGTCGTCGTCGTCTCCTTCGTCCGCGTCTCTCCCCCCGTCGCGCCGCCGTCCGCCTTCATCCTCCTCGAGCGTCGTCATCGCCCTCTCGATCTCAAAGAACCGCGGCGGCGGCGGATCCTCGCCCCAGTGCAGCGCGTGGTACACCTCGTCCGCGAAGATGTAGAACCCGAACCGTCGCGCGAGGGATACCAACCGTCGCCGTCCGTCCGTCCCGAGCGTCCCCCCGCGCGGGTTCGAGTGCGTCGGGACGAGGTACACGACCTGAAGGGAGAGGAGGAGGAGGAAGGACACGCGGAGGAAGGAAGCGATTCCGATTGGATTGGTCAGCGCGCGCGATGGCGTGGCGCGATGGCACACAGATACCGGTAGTATGATAAAGATACGGTGACGTGGCATAACGTGTGGCGGTGGTCGCGTCGCGCGCCTTCGGTCGCAGCCCGTCGTCGACGAGCCGCCGCTCCAACGCGTCCACGTCGAACGCCCCGCCGTCGTCTTCGAACTCCCCGTCCGTCCCCGGGACGCCGATCACCTCGAGTCCGTGGTCTCGAAACACCGCCGCGGCGAGAAAGTACGTCGGTATCTCCATCACGACGACGTCGCCCGGGGACGTCAGCGCGCCGCACGCGAGGTCCAGCCCGTGCGAGACGCCGTTCGTGATGACGAGCGACGCCGCGGTCACGGGCGACGACGACGACGACGACGACGACGACGACGACGCTCGAGGAGGCCGACGTCCTCCGTCGTACGCGTCCGTGAGGAACGACGCGAACGTCTCGAGGATCGCCGGCGGCCCGCGCCGCGCGACGTAGTTCAGAGGGACCGCGTCGCGATCGCGCGCGTCGTCGCTTCGAAGCGCCGCGGCGCTTCGCGTCATCGCGGCCGCGAGGACGTCCGAGGGGAGCTCCCGCGGGTGCCCCACCGCGAGGTTGATCGTCCCCGGCGCTTGGCAACGCAGCGAGGCTTTGTCCGCGGACGACGGCGGCGCGTCGTCCGCGGCGGTCGACGACGAGGACGACGCCATCATCGTTCGATCGACGCGACCGCGACCGCGGGGAGACGCGCTGGAGGAGCCGCCAGCAGCGCCGCGGCGAGCGAAAGGAGGAGGAAAGACCCGCGCGCGCGAGTGGGACGACGACGACGACGACGCCGTCGCGACGCCGGCGCGCATGTGCGGTATGGCGCGCGCGTCGCGACCCCACGCCGAACGTCCGCGGCGCTCGCGTCGATGTGACGACGGCTGCAAACGTTTTTTCACCCACCGCTCGCTTTCAACATTTGATCGCGTCCCCTTTCAACCCGTTGAGAAAACTGACCGATGAACTTGTTTCGTTCGGCGAGAGAAATATCAGTTCGCGATCTGACGGCGCCCCTTCACACACACACACACACACACACACACACACACACACACACACACACACACACACACACCGAAGTCGAGCATCGCGCCCGCGCAGTCGCGAGACGAAGACGATGCCGCCGAAGAAGAAGCGCGCCGCGGCGGCGAACGCGGCTCCCGCGTCCTCCGCGAAGAAGGGCAAAGCGCCCGACGCGAAGGCGAAGTCGTCGTTCGAGCTGAAGATGGGAAAAGTTGACGACGCGTGATGGGGCGACGAAGACCCGATGTTCGGCGGGCGAAGACTCGTCGCGAAATTCGCGCTCGGCCCGAAGAAGACGTCGTTCAGGCTCGAGTTCGAGTTCCAGAGCGACGAGTGCGCGAGCTGCTGGATGTTTCGATCGCTCGACGCCCCGCGGTGGGCGATGTACGCGGACTCGTCCGACAAGCCATGGGGGCAACAGGAACTGGACCACGCGGTCTGGGGCAAGCCGACGGACGCCGCCATCGAACGGTTCTTGCGAGACGCGGGGATCGAGGACGTCGTCGTGGAGGAAGCGAAGGAGGCGAAAGACGCCGCGACGCGGAGGCGGTGGACCTACGCGAAGGTTCTGTGCCTCGCGCGTCGGGCGCTGATGGAAAAACACGGCGAGGGCGGATGGGTGGAGGGCGCTGAAAACGGCGTCTACAACGGCATGGGCGTCCACGAGGACGAGATCTTATTCACGTTCGGGTTCAGACCCGCGTTCGGGGTGTGCGGCTTCGTGAACGACGAGGACGACGAGGACGATGAGGAATCCGATTCCGACCGAAGGCACGAGAGGGACTGTTGGCCGACCGAGGGATCCGACTCCGACCGAAGGCACGCGGGGAATTGGATCTGCGCGGAACAACAACAGAAGAAGAACTTCGCGGACGCGCCGGAGACGTGTCGATCCAGTTACACGGACGAAGACACGGAGGACGCGTGGTTGGCGCGCTTGAAGAAGGATCGAGCGTAGGTGAACGGACCTCGACGAGGACGCGAGAGAGAAACGCGTACTCGTATGATGAGTAATAAGACGCGACCGATGAACGAACGCGTCACGGTGACTACTTCATCGTAAATGATCAAAGGCGCCGCCGGGGCGAGCGCGGTCAAACGACTACACGCATACTGTAGGTCTCACATAGCAGGGCACGGGCATCTCACCACGCCGCCGCGCGCGTCAGTCGTCACCCGACGACCCGCAACAGCGACATCATCGCCCGCGGCGCCCTCAACCGCACGCTCACGTCCGCGGCGTCGACGTCGTGCCCGCCCTCGACCAACCCCCACTCCTCCGTCTGAAAGTCCTCCTCCGCGCGCGCCGCCCTCGTCGCCTCCTCCACGGTGATCGCTCCCCGCACGAGCGCGAGCCCGATGAGCAGGCTCTTCGCGCTCGCGCACGCGTTGAACGTCGCGGTGAGCTCGAAAGCGTCCATCGCGTCGAGACGCTTCGACGCGGTGGAGTTCATAGGCGTCAGTTGAAGTTGAAAGGCGTCGAGGGCGGGGATTGAAAGCGAGGGGTGGGTGGAGAGATGCGCCGGGCAAAGTCCTTAAGGATCGGCGTTCACCACGCGAACGCGGTCGTATGGGAACCAGTGTAAGGAGAACGCACCTTCGACGCGGCTCGCGTGACCTCTTCCGGAATGTCCTCCGCGCCGAAGATGCTCTCCGTCGGCGTCACGTCCCCGAGCTCTTTCCTCGCCCACCGTAGCACGGGTTCGTGCGCGATCGCCTGGTAGTCCGCGAGCGGCGACGGCTCGTGGCGGCACAGCACGACGTCAGTCGGGAAAAACTCCAGCAGCGTGTGAATGTGCTGCGCGCGAATCGCGGGTTTCGACATCTGATCCATCGCGGTCGCGACGAGCGCCATGAGCGGCATCGTGAACGGCCGGATGCTCTTCCCGCTCTGCCACTCCCACTCCGCGGCGACCGCGAGCGCGAGCGCCTTGGAGGGGACCGCGAGCGGCGCCTTCGATGGCGTCTTCAGCGTCTTCCCGTCCAGCGCGATGCCCCAGAGCCCGGGCGCGTCCTTTTGCGGCACGACGGAGACGGACTTGTAGAACCGCGGCGCCGTGCCGTCGCCTCGCAGGCCCGCGCCGACGCGGTCGCTCGACGCCTCCGCGTGGCGGTTCTCGCCGCCGCTCTTGGACGTGGACGACGGCTCGGAGGAGGAGGAGGAGGAGGAGGAGGAGGAGGAAAACGATCGCCCGAGGTCGTGGTGACGCTGGCGATCGGAACCGACGATCGCGCGGTGCGCGGCCCGCGACGCCGCCGCCGCCGCCGCCGTCTCGCCGCGGGCGACGCCCGCGCGGAGGAGCCCCGCGAGCCTCGCGATCGATCGCCCGGACGACGTCATCGCGCGTCCGAAGCCGCGGGCGCGATCGGGTATGTTCACCAGCGATGAGCATCAGATTGTTGACGCCGACGAAAAAGAGCGACCGACGGTTCGGTGTCCGAACACACACGCGCCCGCGCCGCGTCCGCGCGAAGCGCGCCCGCGGGAGACGCGCGCGAGAGAGCGGCTCGGACGCGCGTGATATCATATGCGCGCGCGAGCGTAGGGAGCGCGGACCGTCGTCATCGCGCACCCCTGCGCCGCGCGAAGTAGCCATCGGACGACGCGCCCAGTCCGAGATCTGACGAGCGCGCGCGCGTCGACCGCGGGCACGATGCCGTCCGCGCCGTCGCGCTCGGCCGCTCGCGACGCGTCCGACGACGACGACGACGACGACGACGACGACGACGACGACGACGACGACCGGTTCGAGGACGCGGTGAGCGACCACGGCGACGACGGCCGCGACGACGACGCGCTCGTCGACGCCGCGACCGCGCTCGCCGTCGGCGGCGAGGCGAGCGCGTCGTCAGATCTCGTCGCGAGGGTCGACGCGTCGACGCCGCGCGGCCCGGACGAACGCCCGTCCACGGCGTCCCTCGCCGCCGACGCGAACGACGCGAACGACGAGCGGCGGCGACAGCAGCAGCAGCCGTGGCGCGGGCTCCCGAGGCACCGCGCGAACGCCGCCGCCGCAACCGCGCCGCCATCGCCGTCGACGCCGGCGCGAGTTCGGTTCCCGTTGCACGCGGCGGCGTACTACGGCGACGTCCGCGCGCTCGAAGCCGCGATGGACGCGCACGTCGACGCCGCCACGAATACCGACGACGACACGGCCGGAGTCCTTAAGGATCGGCGTTCACAACGCGAACGCGGTCGTATGGGGACCAGTGTGCTCTCCGACGTCCTGGACGACTGCGGGAACACGATCTTACACGTGGCGACGACGCGCGGCCACCTCGCCGTCGTCGACGTCGTCCTCGCGCGCTCGGATCACTTCGACGTCGACGCGCGCTCGAGCGCGGGGTGGACCGCGCTACAGGAGGCGGTGCACGCGCGGGACCACGCGATCGCGAGGAGGTTGATCGTCGCGAGCGACCAGCGCGCGAAGGCGGCGCTGCGCGCGAAAAAGCCAGAGTTACTGAGGCGCGTTTACGTTTGTTTTGGTCGCCACCGGTCCCCAAGCGACCGCGTTCGCGTGGTGCACGCGATTCGTTGAGGACTGACTTTTCCCGGCACCATCTTCGTCGCTCTCTGTCGTCCAATGAAACGTCCACGTCATATAATGACTAACCAATCACATCACTTCCCGCCACATTATTACCCGCCGATCGAACGACCCTCGTCAGAGCGCTCTCCGCGTTGCCCGACTTCAACGTGAAGATAAAGTGGGAGTTCGGCAGCGCGCTGTTCGGGCCGATGGTGCGGTGGTACGCGCCGTCGGACGTGTACGACGTCACGAAGAAAGGCACGCGGCTGCGCGTGGACGGGACGCTCCGCGGCGCGGAGGAGCCGCCCGAGGATGGAAAGGCGCCGATATTTCCAAAGTGGAAGCGCGGCGACTTTTCGTTGCTCTTCGACGGCGACGGCGACGGCGACGGCGGCGGCGGCGGCGGCGGCGGCGACGCGACCACCGCCGGTCGGTTGTTCTTCGTCGACCACGTCAAGAGAGAAGCGATCGACGCGACGGACGAGGACGAGGACGAGGCGACGTCGGAGGAATACTTGAAACGCGTCGACGAGCTCGCCGCGCGGATGATCAGAGAGGGCGCGGTGAAACACGAGGCTCGCGCGGACGACGTCAAGTTTAGGCCGGCGAAATCTTTGTTCAGTCGCGGGGGGATAAAACGCGACACGGTCGACGGGTGGAAGACGCAGGTGTGGGAGTGCGTCGGGAAGATCCAGAAGAAGGTGGTGCACCGCGGCGGGAGCTTTAAGACGGACGGGAGCTTCGAGCAGTACCTCGCGAGCGCGCGCGAAGGCACCGCAGTGGTGGAGACGGAATTCGACGAGTATTACGACGACGGCGGCGACGACGACGGCGACGGGGGGGAGCCGTTCGACGAGGACGCCGCGTTGAGGGCGTGGAACGACGCGGTGAGGGAGGCGGAGGAGGGAGGCGCCGGGCCGCCGGTGATCCGAGCGGAGGAGGAGGAGGAGGAGGAAGAAGAAGAAGAAGAAGAACCGCCGCCGCCGCCGCCGCGAAAAAAACCCGCGGCGGCGGCGAAAGCGAAACCGACCCCGCCGCCGACCGACGCGCGATCGCGAGATCTCGAGGACACGAAACCGCGCAAGGTATCCGCGAAGTGCTGGCTCGCGGAGTCGTTCCCCGTGACGATCGCGGACGTCCTCCCCATCCTCGACGTCGTCTCCGTCGTGAACAAGCCGCTCAAAAAAGCCCGCGAGATGGCCACGGTCTTCGCCGCGGAGAAGGAGCACCTCTTCCCCGTGAAGATGCTCGCGCCGGTGATGATGTCAGTGTACGCCGTGATCAAGTTCAAAGCGTTCACGACGTTGCGACCCGATCACGAGTGCGAGGAAGAGGAGCTCGACGCGATCGAGTCGCAGCGACCGCCGGACGCGTGCCACGTCAGACGGTTTGAAATACCCGCCGGGTACGCGCGGAAGGTGCGTTCTATACACTGGTTCCCATACGACCGCGTTCGCGTGGTGAACGCCGATCCTTAAGGACTTTGCCCGGCGCATCTCTCCGCCCACCCCTCGGTTTCAATACGCGCCCTCGGCGCCTTTCAACTCCACCTGACGCCTTTCAACTCCACCCCGACATTCGCTTGTATGGAACGACCCTAAGACGGCGCGGGAGGCGGAGAGGGAGATGGAGGAGGAGCACCGGCGGAGGATGTTCGAGGCGCGGCGGCGGCGGAACGAGGAGGCGCGACGGAAGCGCGAGCTCGAGAGGGAGAAGCTCGCGAAGAGAGAGGCGAAGAGAGAGGCGAAGCTGTCGAAGAAGACGGGGGGGAATCCGAAATCGACGCCGACGACGCCGACGACGCCGACGACGCCGACGACGACGACGCGGATAGACCCGACGCATCCCCAGTGGGGCGCCGACGACGCGCGCGCGTGAACCGAACGAATGAACGAACGAACGAGTAGTGAGAGAGGACGAATGGACGAGCGACGAAGACGATTCTATTCACTCGCGCGGCGTCCCTGTCCCCCCCGCGTCGACGCCCCCGTATGATACGTCCTTCGGCGGCACCAAAATCGCCTCCCCCGCGTCCTTCGCGAAGTACTTCTCCAGAAGCATCGCCGCCGCGACGTCGTCCAGGTGCTCGCGCCGCCGCGAGCTCGGTCGTCGTTTACCACCCTTACCCCCCCTCCCGGACGCGAGCGCCGCCGCCTCCGCGTCTCTCGAGGTGAGCGTCTCGTCGTACAGGTAGACGGCGAGGCCGTGCGACGCGGCGACGTCGGCGACGTCCTCCGCGAATCGCGCGCATATTCTGTCCATGCGGAGCGGGGGCCTCGACTTCGACGAGGAGGCGCGCTGCGATCGCGATCCGCCGCGGAGGACGGTTTTCGCGGCGGCGGCGTGTTTCGGCGGCGGCGGCGGCGGCGGTGCTTCTGGAGAAGTACTTCGCGAAGGACGCGGGGGAGGCGATTTTGGTGCCGCCGAAGGACGTATCATACGGGGGCGTC